AACCCTTGAATTAGATCTACAATCTCAACATTCATAATCACAAAATTGCCACGAGACTTCTCAATAATTACAAAATTGACATTGTGCAATTTAGACCATTAGATCATTAACTTATAAAGTTGATCAATGAATATAAATTGGTCTCACGGGTCTCACGTAAAACACTTGGTCTCACGTGAACCCAACCCTATATATATATATATATATATATATATATATATATGCGTGTATATCTAGTGTATTGCCTAATATTTCTACTACCAAATTGTTGCTATGAAACTCAAATGATATTCTCTTCATGATCCTACGTTTGTTTATGATATGAGTTGCAGTTTTTTTTTTCTTCCAGAAACCATCTTCTATTTTAGCTTATAGGATGCTATGCTACGTGTTTACGATATGCTTTTTGTATGATTTTCTTTTACATTCATATATCCAACATAGTTGAAACGGTTCACTCAAAACTTCACTCTCCAACTTGAGCACCACTTTTCCATTCAAAAAAGTATATCATCTCCTTCTTCAATTCGCTATTAAATCTTGATGTCGATCACGTTGCCGAATCTGTTAATGTTGATAACATCCCTTAAATAACCCTTCATTTTTTTTCGATCTCCAGATTCTATTTAATTTACTTAAGTTTCAAATCTTACATATTACTTTTGTGTAAACGAATTAACGTCCTGCAGCTTATTAATTCTTCCTTAATCATCGACCGAAATTTGGCTTCTTGTAAATCAAGAAGCATAGAATTATAGGAATGGAAATTTTCTCTTGTTAAAGAAAACTTAGTATCTGGAACTATGAACATACTAAAATGAGACTAACCTACAAAAATGGAGCTTTCATCATGTCGTACCAGTCCCTTCCATTAGGAACCTTACAAAGGTTCAGCATTGCTATACGTCAAGTATAATGTCATATTCATCAAACTCCGAAATGAATGAATAATATTTCAAGCTATTTAAGCCATCGTTCTTAAGCTCCAACAACAAAATACAAAAGCCATCAAATCTTCCCTTTATTGTTTATAATTTCTCGAGCTCAATGTAGCAACGTGATGCAACCAAAAGGTCCAAAATCATGATGAAAGTTGTTTACAACCTGTCACGCAAGTTTTTATTTAAGGTTCATCGTTCGTAATAGCAACCAATTACAGCAGAAGAGTATAATATTATTCTTTGGAGAGCATCAAGTATTATGCTTAAAACATGTAAATGATATGTTATTTATACTATATTAAGAAACATCTGACAAAAACTATTAAAAACCATATTTTATACATGAAGTATTGTTTATTAATGCATATATATAACTTAAAATTCAAGGTTACAAGTAATTTTGCATAAATACAACTTATTAAGCTTTATATTTGAATTCGGGTAACTAACTGTCGATAAATATAATCAAATACAAGATAAAATTCTCATTTTAAATATATCTAAAATATAATTAGGATAATTATTGAGTTTTAACAGAATAGTTAGTTATTATCTTTATATAAATTATATATTAAACTAAAAACAAATTACTTCGTCAATAAACTTAAATTAAATTATAATAAAAAAACGAATTAAAGAAATTACACAAAAAATAAGAACTTTTATATCTATATATATTTTTTAATTTTTATGTCATCTTCAAATTTATATTTAAAAAAATCTTTATTGCTTGCTTAAAACCATATAAATCCATATTATAATATCGACAAAAACCAAAACAATAAAACAAAATATTAAAATCGATATATATATATATATATATATATATATCAATCAAAAGGGTGGTGTCTGATTGGTTTGAGCTTGGCTCCAAAGGTTAAAAGTACCAGGAGGTCTCAGGTTCAAATCCAAGGAGGAATAAAAATCCCCTTGTGACTACAGATGTTCAAATGCGGTGACTCCAGGCTATCTGCGAAGCAGGTGATCGTCATGAGATTAGTCGGCTCGTATAAATTTAAAACAATCGATATATATATATATATATATACACACACACCAGAGTTACTTCTCCTTATTAATTATAACTTGTATTAAAATGGAATCTTAATAAGAAGTTGTCCACCGTTTGTTTAACACGTCAAAATAAAATAATAAAGAATCAATAAGACAATAAGCAAGTACATACGTAGGACATTGGTAATTGTGTGTGCGTCTAGATATCATGGACGGATTTATTATTGAAAAATCTATGTTCCGATATTAAACAAAACCTTGGTTTTTTTTTAAAGGATATTGAAGTTTGAAGTCTTATTTCACTTTTAATTAATAAGAGATAGTGCTGAAATATGAATTAATAAGACTGTTTGTTTTAATAAAATAATAAACGTTTGAAGTCTCAAATCTTAATCAATAGTTTGTTGTTATAAAATGAGGTGCAAACATTTTGCAAAATTCTCTTGATTTTCATAAAATTTCCATTGCCGAAGTTCATATCAACAAT